GCTGCAGCTAAATCATAATGAAGATATACATAGCATTAAGGTGAAATACGATATATGCAGTGTTATCTTCATTATGATTTAGCTGCAGCTCTTGTTCAGTCACTACAAACTGTTATTTTTAATCTTACATTATAAACTAGTAGGACTCCTTTCATATATTTTGATTAGGAGAACAGTTTCCTGAAGAGTCAAAGTCAGTGCTAAAGGGCTGCATACATTAAACAACAAACCCCATAAGCTGGTCAGCAGTAAAAGCAAATGAATCTACCCACATACCATTAAATGTTCGGTTTTCTTCAGAAACTTTTCTTTTCTTCGATTTATCCATGGTTAGTCCACGGGGGAGGGCGGGGGGGGGGAGCTCAGTAAATCCGCAGATTGGTGGCTGTGTGGAGATAGAGGGGAGATATAGGTGTGTTTAGTGACTGATTAGCAGATAAACAGTCAAGTGCTGTGAATTGTGACAGGTCCCAAGCAGGGTTTAACATTCAGATGAAATGGGACAAAGAGAATCCTTTCAGCAGCATTTTGTTTCCTGTAACATGAGAGCCTGCAGGAAGCTTGTTTAGCAGAGAAATGCAATGATTTACTTAACTAGCTGATTTACTTAACTAGCTAGCGGCTTTGAGCAGATCACCGGCTGTGCCGGTGGGTGTTTTGAGCGAAGGAGCTGCAGCAGAGGGGGTCAAGAGCCACATGCGGCTCTGGAGCCGTGGGTTGCCAACCCCTGTCCTAGTCACTGTAGCAGAAAGCCAACCAGGATTCCCCACTCCCACAACTGAAATCCAGCCCAGATTATCCCGGCTCTCAGACCCCTGGACCAGACACTGGACTGAGCACATGACAAACCCAAGCTTTGGGGAAAATAGCCTTATTAAAAGGATAAAATAAAAGGGTGGAAGATATTAAAATTACAGCTAAAAGGATAAAAAAAGGGGAAGTGGAAGGGGAAGGGAAGGGGAATTTGGAAAGCAGCAACAGCAAGCAACCAAAAATCCCAAACCCCTGGACTTAGTTGGCCCACTCAGGTGCAGAAAATAACAGAATTCAGCTTAGCCTCAGCTATGCACTCAAATACTCTACCAACTTCAGGCACGGGCAACAACAGGGTAGCACAGTGTTCTTCAGCTCAGAGCAGCAGAAGTGGAACCTCTCCTCAAAGAGAGACACCAAACCTTTCATGCCTTGAGCTTTATTCCCCCGCAGCCGGATCAGGACTCAGGAATGACCAGTCCTTTACTCCAGGTGTTGATTCCTCATTGCAGCTATCTCCAGTGTCCTTGGGACATGATTTCTGATATGTCCTCCTCATGCATAACAAGAACCCTTCATTGCCTCCCAAGACCTTGCACACCAGCTCCCCACAGTGCTAGCATCTGGTTTTTCCAGCATCTTCCCAGTAGGTCAGGTAATCCTTCCCTACCTCCCAGAGTTACCAACAGGTTCATGCTACAGTCACATCAGGTATTGCTTTTATTTCCTTTCACTTAGAAGAGAGATATGACTGAGGTACATTGTCAAGCGTAGAACTAACCCCTTGAGGAACATCATGTAAATGCCCTGGGATGGAGAGAAACAGGTTTAAGGAAAACAGTCATGTAAACTGAAGCAGAATTCATCTCTGAAAGGACTGAAGAAGAAACATGTGCAGTGCAGTGGGATTTCCTATCATTCCTTTCTTTTTTTACACTTTTTCTGCAATAGAATCTTAAACATTTGACCCAAGCAGTGTATCTTTTTCTCTCCAAATGTCAGTCTTCCAGCATTTGAAGCCCAAGATCATTCTGTGTGCTCATCTGACAGGCTGGCCATATTTATAATCATTCATTCATTTCATTTCTAGGACAGAAAAATGACAGCCTACCTTAGTTGCAAATACATGAAAGGTGCTTTCTGGTTGTTTTGTAGAAATATCACCCTGCAGCGATGGATCCAGCAAGGATGGCTGGTGGGACTGTGATCTTCATTCCCCCAGTTGGCACTGGCACAAACCTGGCAGGCCAGGGGACCCCTGGAAGCACTATTCAGCCACCCGTTACTGTGCAATACCCACTGTATGGATGCCCCAGTAACCCACCACAGCAGACCCCTCAAGTGGGGGCATTCACGAAGCTCCTCAATGTCGAGACCAAGACGCTGGGGGTAAGCGCACTTTTGCATCTGGTCACATTGAGGGCTGTGGGGACCCCTGCGGGGTCCAGACTTGGGGTGATTTCAGGGCAAGAGAGACTGTTGGGAAGGCTGGTGACTCCTGTGTCCATGAGACCTCTCATTTATTCTAGCCTTTCTTTGGAGCTCTATAGGGTCTATCCATGGCATTTCATGGTAGTGAACTTAATTTGGGAGTGAAGCTCAGGACCATGAATAGCTCCCATGATGCTCCAAATAAAAGCTATACTGATGAAGAGACCCATTAACAAAGGACTTGCAAGCAAGCGACAAGATCTGTCTCAGGACCCTCTCAGTATCCTTTGCTCTGAAGTGCTTTTGTTACTGATATTTAAGGAACTTAATGAATGGCTGGCTGCCTGATTCAGTCAGGTGTGAGGACACTGAAGGCTGTTGGCTAGCTGGTGATGTGCTTGGGCCCTTGGAACTCATAATACAAATCATTCTGGCCACTACAAACATCTGAAGACACTGTTTCCTAAAAGCAGGGTAATAAAGGGCTACCTTCAGAATGATTTAGCCCTACACATTACTTAGGAATGGAAATGTGGCAACTTCAACTACAAGGAATGTCTGGGGGGAAAAAACTCCAGAAATGGAGTGAGAGGATTGTACTCCAGATTTGTTAAGGTATGTTTAGGTGAGCCAGAATGCTAACATTTGGTGCACACAAGGTGGAAACACACGGCTTCATAGGCATATTAGGAAACAGGTAATATTCCCAGCAACAGTCAATTCCTGGAGCATGTCGTTCATGGAACAGAGGAGACCCATGTTCCAGCCCAGAGCAAAATAGACACATGAGCAAATCTGTAAATTTAGATTCTTGTTGTTTCTCCTTTTTCCAGCTTTTAAGTTCAGATGACAGGTTAGGGAGATTATCATTCTAGCAAGCAGCTTTTTTTTACTCAATGGAGCCATCCATAGAGGCTCTTTTTTGTTTCTCTTTTTAACCCCCACGAAGGTGGGATTTTAGTAAGCAAAAGCTCTGGGGGACAGTCTCTCCTGATGTGCTGCTGTTCTGGTCCAAGTCAGGGCACTCTACATGTATCTTGAGGGTAAAAAAAATTAGCATCATAGATATACACACACACTAAATACACACTAAGTAAATGTGGCAACAGGAGCTTGGCTTTTAAGATTCCCCCCCCCCACACACACACACCTTTTTTCTCCTTTTTAGGCAGATTCCAATCTGTTTTCCTCTTAGGCATTTCACTTGTGCTGGGAGGTCCAATGACAGTTTTGCCTCATTTGCATCTCTTTCTCACAGGCCGTCCAGATCATGATTGGGGTGACACACATTTGCCTTGGGGTTCTCATCAGCATTGCCCATGGAAAGCAAAATCAGACTATGGCCTACATGGGCAGTTACCCAATTTGTGGTGGACTACTTGTAAGTAGGATGCTATTCATCTTTGAAAGTCAGCGTGTTTCAGTGCCTCTAGTAGTGGATTTTGACCCCAAAGAGGAGATTCATATTTAGTTTTCTGTGTGTGAATTAGTCATTGATAAACAAGCTTTATTCCTGTCACCTTCATTTCATTTTTGTGAATGGGAATAGGCACAGATGTAGTGTAAGTTTTCTTATTTATCATTTCCCCAGAACATTCAGGACTGGGCACCAACAGTGCTCGCACATACGCACGCACGCACGCACACAGGGATGTGGGAAATGGCTTAATATCTTGTCACATTCTTCCTGGACCAAGACACGGAAAGGCGATGGCTTCCTTCTGAAAGGGGGGGGGGGGGACACAAGGGCAGCATCCTTCCATCAGTTCTGTCTCTAAGGGCAAACCTCTGGTTTCATCTGCTTTCGTGACTCCCTGGGAAGACATGAATCTTCCAGGGCATGTAAACGTGTCTTCCACCCTTGAGAAGAGGGATTCCCTAATTATTTTTACTGAGCTGCTTTGCTCTGCAGTTGCAGAACAGGTCTCTAATCATGTTTCAATATTGGAGTTTGTGACTATTCACTGTCTTCCTGTTGTATCAGTTTTTCATTATATTGATTTTCATGTTTTAAGCCATGTCAGAAGGGCATCCACCCTGAAAAGCAGTTTATAAATGCCCCCCAGCTGTTTTTAATTCTGATTGCATAAAAAATAATTTCATTGTTTTTCATTGTGTTTTATTTTGTGTGGAATTTCCACAATAAAGTAGGGGCTGCCTGGGAGGGGAAAAGAGTCTGCTCACATGGTGCTGGATTCTATCCAGAAGAAATACAAGTACAAGCTGCACTTACAAGATCAGAACTTTTTGCATTCATAAATGCAATTTCCTAGTCATTTCTGAATGTATTACTCCTGATGATATAGCTTGGATAGTCCTAAGTTCAGTCTCTCTCGGTTAAAAGTGATGTCAGTCGACCTTAACAGTAATCCTATAAATAAATAAATCTGAACAAATAACATTGACTGGAAAGGGGGTCATTTCTTATACCAGGACAAAGTGCGTCATATGAAAGTCTTTTGTTTGTCCTGATGGTTCTCTGAGGTCAATTTAATCAACAGAAGAATGGACTTTAGCTAGTACAGGAAATTTAAGAAGGTGGAATAGCAGGAAAGCAGATTTGGGCTGATCAGGGAAATCTTTAAATCATTAATTGACTGTTAAATCAATAGGACAATGGGACCGATAACCCCTGAGGTTGTGGGTTCTCCCACACTGGGATAATCAAGAGGCAGTTGGACAACCACCTGTCAGGGATGCTTTAACCTGAGGTCTTGCAATGAGCAGGGGGTTGGATCCAGCAACTTGACTTGCCCCTTCCAACTCTATTTTTCTGTGGTTCTAAGACTTCAGCTGCTGGTTATAACAGTGCTTGGTGCATTGCTTGCCAAGCACTGTATAACAGCTTGGGCAACAAACTTCAAACCAGCATTTAAAAATGCTTTCCCTCAGTGGATTTGAATTTTGTTTATGGAGGTTTTAGCTTAGACATTTGCCTTTCAAAAGAAACTAAGAAGACCTGTCCTTAGCCTCTGTTTGTGTTGTAGTTTGAGGTAAAAAGTACCCCCATAACTGTTCATGTACACATTTGGAGATATTTAAGTACCTCAGACATGTTTTGGTTTGTAGGGAAAAAAACTGTAAAAGATGGGAGACTTAAATTTGTTGACATTTTTACTATCCAGATTTCACATTGTCCCACAAGGATTAGATCATGGGTCTCCCTATGTGTAAATTGCACACCAGAATGTGAGCTGAGGGGAAGCTCATTATCCCAACATCCAGGATAAATGAATGGGGCCGGGGGAAATAATCATCAAATGGCATTCTCATAGTACTTATTTTTTCAGAACACAGAAGAGTTTGTGGCAACTATTAACTGAATTCAAACATGTTTTTCTCCTTCCTTTGACAGTTCATTATTTCAGGATCCCTGGCAGTTCATGCCATCACCCATCCAAGCCCTTCCTTGGTAAGATATGTAGCATTTCCCAACAATTCTGTTTCCCACCGTGCTGAAGGTGCCAATAAATATCATTCCTTCTTACTGCTCCATATCAACAGTCTCACCTGTTCAGATGTGCATTACTCCTGCATCCAAGTGCTATATATGACTGTTACTCCACGGCTCTGCAGCCAATCAAGAAAAGGGGTCAGCTAAGTTGCACCTTTGGTTTTCACCATCCTACGTACAGTGGTACCTTGGCTCACAAACTTAATCCATTTCAGGACTCTGGTCATGACCCAAATTGGTTGTCAGCCAAGTCAAATTTCCCCATAAGGTTCAGTGTAAATAAGGTTAATCCGTTCTGTGACTATTTTTTTTAATCACAAAAATTTGAAGCGGGCGTGCTCGAGGGGGAGGTGGGCGCAATCGCAATTGACATCCGATGCAGAGTTTGCGACCCGAGGCAAAATTTTTCAGAAATTTCTATTCTTGACCCAATTTGGTTGTGAACTGAGGCATTCATGAGCCAAGGTACCACTATATATATGGCGACTGAGGTCTTGAGACTGGGAATCTGGCAACCAGGCCTGGGAACATTTTGTCTAGAACACAGGGCAGGTCTCGTACTGAGGAAATTTTCTTGGATTGATATTTGTTGCTCTGCAATGCCTCCCCAGATGATGGTCAGAGAGAAGTACTTGCATTAGCACATTGAGCTTGGAATCCTAGAGAAGATAGCGTATAGAATAGGATAGTCGAATTGGAAAGGGCCTATAAGGCCATTGAGTCCAATCCTCCGCTCCGTTTCCACATGTACTCATAGTCACCCTTCCGGGGTACAGGCCTGCACTTCTCCAGCTTAGCAAAGGTGACTCAACATGTGAGGTCCAGGGGGAGCAAATGGAAATGTTTACATGAGACTGGCAGTCTGTGTTTTTCTCTCAGGTGAGATGCAATGCAGGAATGAACATCACCTGTGCTGTAGTGGCATTAGTTGGCATCAGTCTATTCATTGTAGAGCTACATGTAAACAGACAGGAATTCATTTACGAAAAGGTAAATTAACAAACTCTAACAAATATTACTGACTGGGTTTGCATCACAGCATCCCACCATTGGGTACTACCTAATGTTAACTGTCCAGACACCTTTTCCTAAGACACGGGTGTTTTCACAAGACACCTTCCCAAGTCCTCAGGGATTTCAGGAACCGGCCAAATGTGCACCAATGTGTGGACTACCTGGTGGGAGAAGTGGAGGGTCTTGCCATGAAAAGGAAGTAAATCACACCACCCCTGTTCATGAATAAAGACCGGTTGTACCGTTTGTCAGAAACATCAGAGTGGGTGGAACAGCAGCCCTCTATGCAATGCCCAAAGTTTGTCCCTGCTGCACCTTGGCAGCAGGCCCAAGTCAGGACTGCGCCCGGCAGAGGTTTTAGACCCCCCCACACCTTTGCATGACTGTAATTGCACTTTGCAATCGCACGAGTGTGTTTAATTTAAAAAGAAGACTCAGAGTGCTTGTTTGATCATTTTGTGTGTGCATGTAAAAAACTGAAATAAAAAGAGGCTTGGATAGCCACTGAGAACCCCTCCAGGGTGTCACATGGGCATGTTGAAATCACAACAGCCGGCTTTTGCGATCTCTGGGGAGAAAAGCAGGGAAGCCGTGATAAGTTAATAGCAGTCCAGAGTTGTGGAGCGCTGGAAGACAAGTCACAAATGCTATATTTCCCCCTGAAATGAATGTGACAGCGCCTGCCCGGCTGTCCCCTGGCACCTGCGGGTCCCTTGCACTGCCGACTGGGAGGGCCAGCCCTGCTCTTCTCTTCCCGCAGTCTCTTCACTGCAGGTCTGGAAAGTGGTTAGAAGGGCCCTTTCTAACATTGCAGTCAAGGCCAATTGTAGGGGCAACTGGTATATAACGCCTGCTTCTCCTCCTCCTCCCCTTCACAGTATGGAACTACTGGTGTTTCTGTCATATTCATCTTTCTCAGTGCACTGGAGTTCTGCATCACTGTTACAACAGCACATTTTGCATGCCGGGTGGGCTGCTGTGAAAACGAGATGGTAAGCATTTGAATGCCTTGCTCAGGTCTTAACCCAGTCCTATGGGAAAGTCTAGGATTTATGATTGCTCATGAGTGAGAAGTGTGTGTTGTACAATTCCTGCAGCTGTCTTCGAGTTCTGGGTGATGCTGTGTCTGGATCATGAGCCTGATACAGCAGAGTCAGCCTTGTCCAACCTGAAGTCCAAGATGTTTTGGACTTCAAGGCCTATAATCCCAGCCAGCAAGATCAATAGATGGGAATGGTGGGAAGTGTAGCTCAAAACATGGGATGCACCAGGTTCAGCTGGGCTAATCTACAAAGCTTTCTTAGCCAAAGATGACATGACCAAAAGGTGTCCAGTCATTCCTCATTTTTCCTGACGTTTCTGCTGCCTTGGGTTCAGCTGGCTGCTCTCCTCCTGCTGGTTCTCGTGATGCCACAGATCTCAGCTTGTGCTCTTCCAACCTGCCTAAACATTGTCCCAGTACTTCCACTGGTAGGAGCTCTCCCTCTTCTTTCCCTTCTTGTGTCCAGATCCCTCACAGGTCTGTTCTCCACTGCTCATTTCCCACCCTTTAATTGCCCCCATATGCAGATGAGAGCCACTTCTGTCTCTCCTGCTGGAACTCTCCTCATACTGACCCTACACCTCCAATTACCGCCGTGCTATTTCCATGCAAAATATTTCATCTAGGGAAGTGTGAGGAATCTCTGTGGGGGTTGGAGTCTGTGCTCAGCTCCCTGGGTGCCAGTTCCCTTTGCAGCAGCTCCGAGTCCCTAGCAGGGACCCGTTTTGTGCAGAAAATCCATCACGTTCCCTGGTTTCAGGTTCCTACTTTGCGGCAGCCCAAAGCCTGAGTTCCCGGCAAGCGTGCCCAGTGCTCACAGGCCCCACGCACTGTGCAGGCAGCACCCTCCTTCCATGCCCGCTGTGGCCCCCAGTGGGGATGCAGGTTGGTCACTGGGGATGGTGGCTGGTGTACCCACTCACAGCTCCCCTCGTTCCCCTCCTGCAGCCACTCCTGATGGGGACGGTTGCAGGTTGCACGACTGGAGCTCTCTGAGCATTCACAGACATCCTCTTGCCTTGCCTTGCTTTGTGGGACTGGTATGAGCACGAGAGGAAGCCCGTGAATACCGGCGGAGGGGATCCATTGCAATAGAACGTCAGCGAATCACATGAATAAAGTAATGCAATTAACGCAATTACAATAGCATAATAAATAAGCAGAATAAAATCTCAACAACATGATTAAATAAAACATATATTAATAAAATTAAATATATATTATTTAATTAAATATATATAGTACTGTAATTAAAAACTCATGCATAGATATAAATAGTCTAGACGGGGCCAAAGTTGTGCCAGAAGAGGAACGTTTCATTCCAGCTTCCGTTCCTGGTGAGGACATCTGGTGTTCATGGGAACACTGACCAGGAATTGAGCCCATGTGCTGTGCAAGGAGCATCCCTCTACACGTGGCACAGAAAGAGAGGCTGCCAGGGGCCATGCAGGGCCCTGTACTTGCCCAGCCCCGCATGGCCAAGCTCCTTCCACATCGGGCATAGCAGGCCCAATGCCTGGTGAGCTCAGCCACCAGCGGTGTCCCTTTCCATGTCACGTGCAGCAGCCATGACATGGAAAGGGACTGGTCACGCCAGGAATGGCGCTCCAGGTGACTGCTGCACAAGCAGCAGGCGTCGTTCACACCACCTCCAGCCGCCTTCTGCTGCTCCACCTGATGGAGAAAAAGCTGCTGGTTGCCCAGCGTTCGTTCCGCGAGCGTTCATGGACTTTCTCTCAGCTCAGCTCACTTTGCAAAGCTGGGCTGAGCACGAGAGGAAGCCTGTGAGTACTAGAGAGACGGAGTCATCCCAGACCTAATTTCATCAGTCAGTATGCCAACAACCAATGTCGAAACCTGTTTCCTAAGCCATCATCTCTTTATCTACATTCAACATCCGTTGGCGACATTTCAGCAGGTCACTGTGTTGAACAGGTAGAGTGCAGTGCTTACCCTTGTCCCCTCTCTTACGTTCCCCGTATTTAATGCGATGCCAAAGTGTAAGACTTCTTCCTTTACTGCTGTTGCAGTGGGGACCATCTAGCCTTCTTCTCTCTTCAGTCTGCTGGGGGCCCCATCCTTCCTGCTAGGTGTTGCCCCTTTCCACAATGGACAAAATGCAGAAAGAAATCAGTTTCTCTGTTGTCTTGCCTTGCTACCCTTATCTTTATCCAGCAGTTTATTGCTGAAATCCTTCACTTCTCCCATTCCTAGGGATGGAAAAATGAGGGGTGTTTAAGCTCATCGAGGTACTCCATTTTCTACCTTGATGCTCAGGTGACCTTGTTACTGTTTCTTTTTTATTTTAAGAAAAGCAGAATTGTCTCTTTTTCAAAATAAAGTGGTAACATGCACCCAAATGCACATTTACTGATTGAAGAATGAAAATTCTTGTACACATTTTTAAAACTGTGTCCACATTTTTAATAAAAGGTGCATTTTATTAAGCTTGAGAATGTGATCCCTTTTTATTATTTTTTGAAAAAGATGATTGCATTCATGTTCATGTTAAGGGCTACAAGAACATTTTTAATACATGCCTATTTGTTTCTAATGCATTTCAAGTTCCAAAAGCCATTTGGATTTTCAACAGCAAGTTCATTTGGAGTCACGTCTTGGTCTAGAAATTGTGAATTATTATTATGACTTATTTGCGTGTAGCTTCAGTACATTCATTAAAAACCCACTCTACAGGGCAAACCTCACCCACCCCTACTTTTTATGGGTTCAAACAATAAAAATCTTTTTTAACACTTTTAGGCCTTAAGCCTCAGAGGAGGAAAGATCGCATCGTGAGGGCGTTGTTCATAATGATGATGTCAGTGGAACGAATTCTTAGATCAAATTATTTCATTTGCGCCTTTTTGTATTTCAGGCTGTAACTGTTACGCCATACACTGTCCTTAGAAGTACTACAGATTCTACAGAAGGCAATCCTGTACTCTAAGCTATGTCCATAAGGCTTCTGCTTTCTATTCACAAGATCAGAAGCAAACCGAAGAGAGAACTTACAGGTGATATTATATCTGCAATCACAGCGAGCTCAGAAATAAAGTAGCACCGATCACCTACAATGCTTGCACACTATTCATCAGTAGGAGTGGCCATGGATCACCCTCTTCTCCATGAACTTCTCCAGTCTCCTTTTAAAGCCTCCCAAATTGATGGGCATCACTATATCTTGTGAATTCTGCTCTGAAATTGCCACAGAAGTGGTGATATTGCACATGAAAGTGGATGACCCCACCACTTTAGATTCATTTTGTCTCAAGATCCCTTCTGACTCCATGTTCTTCTGAGGTACGGTTCTCTTGAGCCATCTGCAACATCTCTTTCAGATTTACCAAGGCAAACTGATAGGAATAGGACTAGAGGAGAAATCATTATATGAACCAACTTCCACCATAACTCGGAAGGAAGTGCAGAGGGTGACAATAAGGGAAAGGCCCTTCTCTGTCTATGGACACCATATGGACTCCCCACTGCAGTCCATTTGGTGCTGAATTTGTCATCTTTTTGGTACCAGGATAAGATGGCCCTGTTTTCCGAGGTCTTTAAAGACTTTCTTGCCTCCCAGGGGCTTGAAGGGGATTACTCATCCCAGATGATTTACAGAGAAATTCCTCACTATTGTTTGTTTTAGCTGTTTTAAACTTTTAAATCTTTTTTCCTTATTTTGATATTTTATTACATTTTATTGTCTCTTTTATGGATCGATGTAAACTGCCCAGAGAACTTTGGCTGGACTGGTACAGATATGAAATAAATAATAAGCAATACCAATATCTAACCAAAAAATGCATACAGACATATATACATTCAGGAAAATAAATATCTTACATTAGAAAAACTGCTTCTACAATGTGTGTATCTTAAGCAGAATTTAATTTTTAAAACCTGTGAATTAGGAGAAATATGCACACATATGCTTATGAATTTCCATGCATACCTAAACACCCTTTTTTTAAAGTTTGGGATGAAGCAAAATTAAAACTGGAAACATTCTCAAAGTTAGGGATGGATCTGACGCTGTTCTGCTAAATGCAGAGTACAGCCAGTCCAGAAGAGCTAGCCTAGAAACCAGCAGATACACCAAAATATACAGGAGCCAGGAATGTGCACCTTTAGAAGAGTGAGTCCAGGCAGTAGGAAGTTTTCATAGGGTGCCAGCTGTAGGTACAGGCAACCCCTAAGCTTTTGAATGAAGGGCTGTTTCATTAAGGAAGCAAGTGCAGGATGAATTGAAAAGCTAGTTCCTGAAAGGATGTGGCGCCTGAGTGTTAAAGAGACATGACAAGATTCGTCAGCAGCGAGCCAGGAGCATCCATATGGTGGTGCTTCAGCATTTGGGAGAGGAACAGGGTTGACCCAAGGTATTTGTGTCTCCTCTCCCAAGCTTAGGGGTGCCAAGCTGTTTGGGTAGATGTGGCAGAAAATCTCACAAGTGCCTCTCCCCCTCACTGCTACGCATCCTGAATGCAAAATCCTCTGCTTTGATCCTTGTTGGGAAAATTTGGATAAATCCTGTCTGAAAAGCATTACTCCTGTGTGCCTTTGCACTGTGGGATCAAATCCTGTCTTCCTTCTCAAAACCAAGCTGTCACTGTTTAAAATGGCATTCCCCCCACTCCTTTCTCTCACCTTTAGCTGTGGGCTACAGTAGACAGGCCATTTTAGCCCAAATATTCATTGTAAATAGTCATTGTTGGAATGCAGTTTACAATAATCTTTTGATAGCCCAGAGGGCTTCATGTGCCCTGATCATGCAGAATGTTTAGAGTCGAGATAAGGGTCTGAGCTTATCATGAATAGTTTCTAGTAGCTTGAATTTGCATGTCTGAACAGACCTGGAGATGGGTTCAAGTTACTTAACTAAAGTGTCAATACAGGCAATTAGAAATATTTTAATCTCATTGTTACAATGTGATTGACTGATATTTATCTGTTCTGTATGTGATGACCTCAGAATCTTATTGCAATCTCTGCATTCTGTCATCAATTGCCCTGTACCTGTGTACCTATAAATGCCCTGTAATGGTATAGAAGCTTTGCAGCAGAGTTCACCTCTGCCTGCCCGGTAATGCATTATCGTGACTACGCACCCGCGGGGAACCTGGGAAATACAATAAAGCCTCAGATGGTCCGGACGCTTGGTCTTTCCCACAAACCCAAGTTTTATTCCCTCTTCTCAAATTGAGATTCCGGGATTCTGACATCCTCAAGCATGCAAGAGAGGGCAGAGCAGTCGTGGGTCATTGCAAAGATGCAGGGGGTCATGGAAGAAGCTTTTGCAGTCAGGACTTCTAGATGCTCTGGCACGGGTGGGGAGGGGAGGGGAGGGGGAAGCAGATCAATGGGTGGACCATGTGGATAAGAGGGGAGCCCAGATTTCTGAAAGCATGGTTTATTAGAAAGGAGGAGAAATATGAGCAGCCAAGGCCACACTTTCAGTTCAAGCGAAGAAACCGAGCCCTTGGCTGCTGTGAGTGTTCCCAACAAAGCCACTTCCTCTAAATTTAGATTGATCTCAGTTCAGCTGAGAAAGCAGCAAGCCAGGCAAGAGCTTCCTTTCGAAGAAAGAAGAAATGCAGTCCCTGGCTGTTGGGGTGAAAGCTCTTGTGGGTCCAGCAAACCAGATCTGCAGCGAGGGGTTGCTGCAGGCAAGAACAGTGCTGCTAGTCCTGCTACTACAAGGCCTCTAGCCAGAGATGGTGCAATTGCGGGGAGGCCGCGGTTGGGATGGAGCCAGGGGAACTTCTGGCCCGGATCTGCCACTCTCCCTGCTCTGCCATGCCGGGGATGCTTCACTTCGCATCGTAAGGGTGGGGGTGGGAACAGGAGGCATTGTACTACTCTGGAAAGCAGCTGTGAGAGAAAATGCAGTTAAAGCTGCTGCAGCAAGGACTGGCTGAGGCTACTCACTTGGATTCATCCCAAAGTGGGGTTGTGCCTTTTGTGGAACAACAGAAACAGCCTAGGCTGCCCTTGGACGTGACCTGTACTGAGGGACAGACAGGGAGAAGAAGATGCTCTAGATTCTCAGCAGCTTTCAATCCAAAAGACCAACTTAACTGGGAGAAGACACAGAATGAGGAGTCAATGGCAAAGAGCAAAATGGAGGGAACAAAATGGTGGAAGGAGCCCATTGCTACAGCAGGCATTACTCCAGGGGGGTCCAAACTGTGGCCCATGGGCCGCATGTGGCCCAGGATGGCTATGAAAGCAGCCCAACACAAAATTATAAATTTACTTAAAACATTATGAGATTATTTTGCAATTTTTTTGTAACTTGATTGCTCAGTTCTCAAGTGTGAACTTTGTAGACAACAACGTTGTGTTGCAATACCATGTAAAATAAACATATATATGCTATTGTACACAGATAGATAGATAAAAACTTTATTATGGTCAACTGTGGCTTCAGTTTTATGGTGGTGTGAGGCTTCCAGTGTGTTATCTTCTAAGCAGAGAGAGTTGAATTGACACCATCAGATGTTACATGTGCTCATGGTGACTTGGCAAGTGAAACGCAGCTATTTGCAATAATATTTCAACCTGCCATTGCAAACAAGGGATATCACTGTTGTATCCCACAGTTTTAGAGAGATCAGAGACCAGTTGGTATTTTTTAAAAGATTTTATTGCCTGCACAGGGACCAGCACAATCTCACAAGGGTGGGATTGAGTGCCAGCCCTCTGCAGAGAGAAAGCAGAATTTTTATACCAGGTTACAAACAAATGGAAAATTGTTTATTGGCAGCCTAAAGCAAGCTAGCATGATACAGAAGCGAGAAGGTTTGCAGTTAGTCTATTTTCCGATACAAAAAGCGGAGCGGCTTTGCAGTTAGTCTATCCTTTTAAGTTTTACACCTTTGATGAAACTTGCACATTTGCTAAAGTAACACTCTGTATATGCCTGGGGTAACTGATAAACCTTCTATTAGGCTATTTTAATACAAGAAGCCTTCTATTATGCTTACTCAATACACAAAGCATTCTATTATGCTAACTTAGTACACAGCTGATAACATTCTGTTATATCGATCTTAAGCCAGTTGGGTCAAGCCCAACAATCAAAAAAATTATACACAGAGTTTTTTTTTTTTCCTCATCAGCTTTCGCTAGTGCTTGTGTATTTAATGTGCGGCCCAAGACCCTTGTTCTTCTTCCAGTGTGGCCCAGAGAAGCCAAAAGGTTGGACACCCCTGAATCACTCTGTTCATGAGAAGAACTATTGCTCGTTCTTGGGAAGGAGGCGCAATCAGAGGAAAGTGCATGGGAGGGATGCGCAAGGGCTCCCCTTGCATTCCCCACCACGCCTGCTGAGGTGCCACTCGGTGCACACAAGATGAAGCCGCTGCAGGCCACCAAATTGCTCAGAAAAGGTCCCCCCGCCCCCCTGCCCCAGCCCCAGCCCACAGCAGGCTTGCGGGTTCCCCAAAGCTTTATGCTTCTGTGGGTAGATCAGCAGAGACCTTTAGGGAAGAGGTGATGAATGCGGAGAAAGACAATCCCTGGAAGAACACTGAACAGCTTAAAGCAGCTGCTCGTGCTTCCAGCGTGTCCGTGGCAGAATGGGAGCAGACAGCCCTATGAATTTCATTTTGTCTCTGTTAAGGGATTCGGTTTTTCCACAAAACACCTGGTTCGTTGTTGTTACGTGCCCTCAAGTTGCCTCTGACTTATGGTGGCCCTCTGAAGAAGCAGCTTGTCCTCCTCAAAGCTGTGAGCTAGTTGTGAAATGGGTGGTCGTGCATTTCTTCCCCTTCCCGCACAGCGGAGGTAAACATTCTTGCTTTTAAAGGAGGAGGCTATCTGGAACATTTTCTGACCTAATATGTTATATTTAATAGTAGGACAGATTCATCCAAGTTTCTAACTTCAGTTAAATAATGGTATTGAAAGAAAAGTTTGAAGACAGCATTGATTTCAGTGTCTGTACATAATGCGCTTCTGAAAAATGCTGCAAAATGCATAAACCAACTGGGCTTCTACAGGACTCCATATCAGGAACCAGAACAGAAAGGTTTCTTTAAAACATAAGCTGAAAAAATAGCTGCACAGAATCCTGAGGTTTGCACTTCCATTTATGCAAAAGCTTATCTGCAGAGTAAGGCCTGTTGCTTAAAATCATTCACCAACCACAGTCAGTTGTAACTGTTGTATAAGTATCACAACACAGGAGTATATGCTCCCTCCCATATCTGCTATTTTCCCTGTAGGGTAGCTTCTTTACTAAACTGTGTATGTCTTTATTAAAGAACCAACTGAACCTCTTCCTCTCATGTAACTGGAGTTACAGTTTTAATTTCTCTTTTGGCCTTCAGGACACAGAAATGCTTGTGATTTTCATGCAAACTTTAAACAAATACGCATCTCAGTGGTCAGGATGAACCAGATCTAAGGCTGGTGACAATCTCAGAGGTGTGTATGATCTGAACTTGAGCCTGGCAAAATGAGAAAGTGAGAGGAACTGTAATTGACAGTTTCACCAACTCCTAAGGCCAGAGAGTTCCCTCCTTCAATTCACAGGCTTGGTGACAAACTCAGTACAAAAGTTATGGGCGGTATCGGCAGTCACAGCAATCCGAGGAGTAGCTTATTATTGCTTTTCTGTCCACCAGGCAATGAACTACAGCAGCTATTTTTAGCACAACGATCAGTTAAATTAAATGATTAGGGTTTAAGATGTTAAAAACCCATATGGCAAATTTGAGCTGGGGGGAAGGAAGAGGGAAATATATCTAGACTTTTAGTTCCCCCACTCCAAATGTTCCTATTTGCTGCATAGTTTGGAAAAAGAAAACTTTTTGGACAGCTGTTGGACATAAGTGATGTGAAAAGGTGGTGGTGTGTAGATCCTCATTCTGGCGAGCTTAAAGGGTTAGAGAAGTATGGACAACGTGGAGGCCACTGAGAGCTGACAGGGCCATACTTATAAACCAGAAGATCACACAGGCCATACTTATAAACCAGAAGATCACACAGCTTAAGGGTTATATATTCGCCAACTGCTTTTGAGGGAATAAGCCCTTTGTCACTTTGCATTTCAATTGATAGCTTGCCAACTGATGGCTGCCAAGTGTGCATAAAGCAACCCATATGCAGGCTCACCTGGTCAATGTCTGTGGATGTCACCTTCTGCATTTTGGCAGCAAGCACTTACCAAGACATCAGCCGGGCAAGATTCCTGCCTAGCCGATGGGCAGCCAATAGTGCTCACCTGAAAAAGTATTTTTAAAAAAGAAACTTTTGATTGAAATTGAGCACAGAATGGGTGAAATATCAAGAGTGCCAAGTGCGTTTTGCCCCTTTTACCAAGTGACTTACTTGCCACTTACTGCAACCCCTGATGGGATCTTTCTCCTTAGTTTGGATGACTCAACAACCCATCATGGGTTCAGCAGCCCTTAGAATAAGCCATGGATTGTCAGATGTCTTGTTCCCCCTACCCCAAAAAAAGCAAGTTAGCAAGAACTAGTCCTACCCTACTGAGACTAGTTAACCATGACAGGTGGTGGTGTGTGAACCCAG